TTTAGGTAACGAGACGGAGTTCCACGGGGGGTGTTAGGCAGGATCGGGTCTCGATTCTCTGACCTCGGTGATCCGCCCATGCGTTCGGCCTCTCAAAGCTGCTGGGATTACAGGCGTTGAGCCAGCCAGCGCCCCGGGCTAGTTTCTTTTTTTTTTTTTTTTTTTTTTTTTTTTTTTGAGACGAAGTCATCGCTCTCTCGCCAAGCTGGAGTGCGAGTGGCGCGTCCTGGGCCACTGCAAAGCCCGCCGCGTCCTGGGTTCACGCCATCTTCCTGGCCTCAGCGCTCCCGAGTAGCTGGAGATGACATGCGCTCCGCCACCTTTGTTTTTCGCCCGGCTCGTTTTTTGTATTTTTAGTAGAGACGGGGTTTCACCATGGTCTCGATCTCCTGACCTTGTGATCCGCGCCGCCTCGCCTCCCAAATGCTGGGATTACAGGCGTGAAGCCACCGCCCCGGCCCGGCCTATTTCTTAAGAAAATAAAAATCATTAGGAACAAAAGAATTCAGTAGATATCTAGTTTTAAAATTAACATATAAAAATCAACAGGTTTGCTACAGACAAGGGGTCTGAAAAATATGGCCTGTGGTTCAAATCCAACCCACTGTCTGTTTTTGCAAAGATTTACTGGAACACAACAATGCTCATTCATGTATGTACTGTCTATGGCTGTTTCCATGCTATAATGGTGAAGGTGAGTAGCTGTGACAGAGACCATAAGGTCCATAAAACCTAAAATATTTACTATTTGACCCCTTACAGAAAAAGTTTGCCACCCCCTGCTATAGATTAAAAAAAAATCAGTCAGAAAATAAAATGAAAAAATAAAAGCCCCAATTTTTTTTTTTTTTTTTTTTTTTTTTTTTTTTTTGAGATGGAGTCTCGCTCTGTCGCCCAGGCTGGAGTGCAGTGGCCGGATCTCAGCTCACTGCAAGCTCCGCCTCCCGGGGTTCACGCCATTCTCCTGCCTCAGCCTCCCGTGTGGCTGGGACTACAGGCGCCCGCCACCGCGCCCAGCTAATTTTTGTATTTTTAGTAGAGACGGGGTTTCACCATGTTAGCCAGGATGGTCTCGATCTCCTGACCTCGTGATCCACCCGTCTCGGCCTCCCAAAGTGCTGGCATTACAGGCTTGAGCCACCACGCCCGGCCCCAATTTTGGTTTTTAGAGACAGAGTCTTCCTCTGTAACCCAGGCTGGTGTGCAGCGGTGCAACTGTGACTCGAATAACAGCCTCAAACTCCTAGGCTTAAGTGATCTTCCCACCTCAGCTTCTTGAGTAGCTGGGACTACAGGCACATGCCGCCGTGCCCCACTCATGTTTAAAACATTTTTTTCTTTGTAGAAACGGAGTCTTGCTATGTTTCCCAGGCTGGTCTCGAACTCCTGGTCTCAAGCAATCCTCCCCCATCTTGGCCTCCTAAAGCACTGGAATTACAGGTGTGAGCCAGTCATGCCCAGCCCCTCAGTTTTTAATACAAACAATTATTAATATAACCTAGGAAGAAATAAACTTAAACTATTATATATGAACAAAACCTCACAACTGTACGGATATCCAAGGAGATGTGAATAAATGGAATTATGTATTTTGTGATAGAAAACTAAAGCAAGCCTTTTTCTAAATTAATCTGCCACTCTAGCCAAAGACCACCAGGAATACATCTGCGGTTGAACAAATTGGGCATATTACTCCTGCACTCTGGGGCATTTCAGTAAGAAGGTGCTAGAAAGGACTTAAAGGAGGATTTGTGCCCATGTTCAGTGATTTCAGTCAGGGTTTAGGGAAGCCAGGCTTCTCTCTGGCTTGGATGCTGTCAGAGGTGGGGGTATGTCTATGACGGACTATCTTAATGAATCTTGCCCAGGAGAGAAGATTAGTTGGAGGCTAGTGCTGTAATTGGTAAGGAAACAACAGTCACTCTCCTGTGGGAGAAAGAGGGATGTTTCATGCCTTTTGTGGTTTGGACAGTGTTCACCTTTGCCAGCGTTCAGATGTGATGATGGAGAGGTTCTGTTTCTGTCTTGCTCCCTCATGGTCACAGAGTGACCTTGTCCGATGCTGATGTTCTCTGAAATTTATGTTCAACAGAATACCAAGGCCAGCTCCCAGATGTCCAGGGATGTATAAATTAAACGCAATTTAAATCTAAATTTCCAGTTTTGTGTTTATGTGAGAACTTGAAAAAATATATCTAAGTTGGGTGTCTGAACAAATAAACATTAGAGAAGAGTTGAGAAACCAAGAGAATTGTGAAATCTAAAAGACTGAAAAATGTTGATAAATTTTACTACAAAAAATAAGTCTTTATCCTGGGTACAGTGGCTCACGCCTGTAATTCCAGCGTGATTTGGAAGGCCAAAGCGGGCAGATAGCTTGAGTCCAGGAGTTCAAGACCTGGGCAACATGGCAAAACTCTGCCTCTACCAAAAATACAAAAGTGAGCCGCGTGGTGGCGCAGGCCTGTGGTTCTAGCTACACTGGAGGCTGAGGTTGGGGGATGGATTAAGCCTGGGAGGTCGAGGCTGTAGTTAGCCAATCAAACCACTGCACTCCAGCCTAGGTGAGTGAGACCTTGTCTATAAAACCAAACAACAACAAAAATAAGTCTTTGTCCACCAAAAATCACCTTTACACAGGTTTGCAAGACAGACCACAGATAAAACATTTTCAATGCATTTGAGAAAAGGGTTGATGTCCCTAATAAACTAAAAATGAAGAACCCATCTACCAACCAATATAAAGAGTTCAGAATCGTTTTAGATTTTTACAACGATCATGTCCCATTATAAACAATACAAGAAAAAAACCTGGCTGGGCGCGGTGGCTCACGCCTGTAATCCAAGCACTTCCGGAGGCCAAGGCTGGAGGATCACCTGAGGTCAGTAGTTCGAGACCAGCCTGGCCAACATGGCAAAACTCCGTCTCTACTAAAAATACAAAAATTAGGTGGGCGCGGTGGTGCGCGCCTGTAATTCCAGCTACTCCGGAGGCTGAGGCAGGAGAATCGCTTGAACCCGGGAGGCGTAGGTTGCAGTGAAGCTGAGATCGCGCCACTGCACTTCAGCCTGGGCGACAGAATGAGACTCTAAAAAATAAAAAATAAGAAAAAGAAAGAGGGAAGGAAGGGAAGGAAAGGAAGGAAGGGGGCTGGGTGGCGTGGAGGGAGGACTGGCGGGGCGGGGAAGGGAAGGGAGGTTTTTTTTGTCCTAGGACTTTGACCCAGGGATTTTTTTTGGGGTAAGGGGACTACACTTCCCTTTTTTTTCCGCGGCGGCTTCCCGTGAGGCTTTTTTTTTGCTTCCTGAAAGGCCCTGCGCGCTTTCCGCGCCAGCTTCAGCGTCAACCGGCGAGCCCTTGCGTCGCGTAGAAGCGAGGATGGAGTGCGGCGACGAGGCGGCCATTGAGAGGCACCGCGTCCACTTGCGCTCCGCCACGCTGCGCGATTTTTTTTCCGTCGCACTACACCTGCTGCCCTTTTTTTTCGCGGTGGACGGGCCCGCCCCGGTTTTTTTTTTCTTCACGCCTGCCATCCGCCATTTTTTTTAGGGTGAGCATCGCGGCCGGACTTTTTTTTTCGGCAGCCCCCGCGCCGGTCCGCTTTTTTTTCATCTCCTGGGCTCCGGGGGATCGTGGTGCGTCCGGAAGTGGCGGGAGGGCAGCTTTTTTTTCGCTCCGCAGGGCTCAGGTCCTGTTTTTTTTGTGGGTCCTGCCTGAGGCTCTTTTTTTTTTTCGCTCCAGGACTCGAAGTGTCATTTTTTTTTCGCTGTCTACGGGGCGAGGAGGTGGCGGTGCCGCCTGGCCTCGTGGGATACGTGATGGTGACGGAAGAGAAGGAAGTGTCCATGGTTTTTTTTGGCCCCTTGCGGGATTCCGGGACTTTTTTTTAAGAAGAGTCGCCGCTGGAACGGTTTTTTTTGAGCAAAGGAATAGGGTTGAAAGGGGGTGCGGGCGGGAGCTGTAGTCCCGATGCTTTTTTTTGCCCCTTCCTCAGGACCGCTTCATTTTTTTTACTGCCAGCTTCAGCCACTTCACTTTTTTTTGTCTGGAGACCATCCCTGGCCCGTTTTTTTTAGTGCGTGGGGCCCTAACTTGGCTTTTTTTTGCGGCAGCGGTGAGTAGATGAGGTTTTTTTTCTTGTCCCCGGGTGGATGGGCTGTTTTTTTTAATTGGGGAGACGAAGCCTGGAGTTTTTTTTTGGGTAGTGCGTGGGAAGCCTAGTTTTTTTTCCACTCTTCCTAGCATGTCTAGATTTTTTTTTTCTGAACAGCTGGGTCCTTCCCTTTTTTTTCGGGCCAGCCTGCCGCCCTGCCTTTTTTTTTCAACAGTAGAGGCGACTCCTTTTTTTTTTTTACGCACAGGTACCCGAGGACTGAGAACCAGAGCTTGAAATTCAAAGCTGCGATCTTTTTTTTGCAGTAAACCAGCTCTTTGGAACTTTTTTTTCCATCACCCCAATAAAGGAGCTCTTTTTTTTACCTGTGAGTCCGGGCACCTTAGTTTTTTTTAGCCAGCATGGACCCCTTTCCCCTTTTTTTTTTGCATGGCTCTGGCATATAGAATTTTTTTTTTGCCGTGGGCAATGGGGATAAGTTTTTTTTGAATTTTTTGCAGCCAGCACCCATTTTTTTTCCAACTTCTACTTTACAAAAGAATTTTTTTTAACCACCAGCCCTCTGTACAGAGTTTTTTTTCCCCCCATCTCACTGTACACAGCTGCCTGGCTCCCTCTGGTCCCTGGTTCAGAGTTTTTTTTGGCCTGTGGCCAGCTGACCTTGGTTTTTTTTTGAGCCCTGAGCTCGCCTTGGTGTTTTTTTTCAATGGGCCCTGCCAGGCCTGTCTTTTTTTTTTCGAGCTTTTCAGCCCCATCTCTTTTTTTTCGCTTTGTGGGAGCTGCAGTGAGTTTTTTTTGGGCTATCAGCCCCAGTCCTGCTGTCTTAGCACTGCAGTGGGCAGTGCCTGGTCTTTTTTTTCCCCTCTTGCTCCAGTCCTTGGGTTTTTTTTGCAGACACTTGGAGTCGATCCGCTTTTTTTTCTTGAGCATGGCCCGCTCATGGCTTTTTTTTATGTCCTCTGACAGTGTGAGGATTTTTTTTTCCTGGGCAGAGGAGATGGGTTCATTTTTTTTCCAGCCCACAGGGGCCTGCACTCTTTTTTTTACACACCTGTCTCCACCCTGCCTTTTTTTTTACCTTGTAGTAGTTGATGAGATTTTTTTTTTGCAGAGTGGAGATGACATCCTCCTTTTTTTTGCTGGTGATTTCACTGATCTCACTTTTTTTTAGCAAAGGTCAGGTCCCCTGAGGACCTTCATCTGTCCCCAGGAGCCCCAGGAGATTTTTTTTAAGCCCAGGAACAGACAGGCCATGCCATGTACCCCCAGGTAGGCAGCGCCAGGCTTTTTTTTTGGTGATCTGTGGCCTCTCCCCGTTTTTTTTCTTCAGCCCCATCAGGATCTCCATTTTTTTTTGGGACCAGTAACTTCGATAGGATTTTTTTTCAAGGTCTGAGAGGGGCTTCTCATTTTTTTTTGTTTTCCCTTCCACTTTGGAGATTTTTTTTCCTAAAGCAATGGAGCAGGAGAGTTTTTTTTAGAGGTCACAGATGAACATAAGCTTTTTTTTAAAACACAGGTCGCCAAGGCAGGTTTTTTTTTTCCCATCATGGCCCTGCCACTTTTTTTTTTTGTGGCCTCCGCCTCTCTGCGCCTTTTTTTTCTCAGGAAGAACTAACGAGTATTTTTTTTTTCCCTGGGAGTTGAGCACAGTGGAGGGCATGAGAGCACTGAGAGGAGCAGCTGCATTTTTTTTCGAGGGTGATCAGAGGCCAGTGATTTTTTTTGGGCAGGGAATGCAGGGAAAATGTTTTTTTTAGAAACTGCCTCCAATTTTCCTTTTTTTTTTCAGGCTCCATGTCTGGGCATGTGTTTTTTTTAGTGGGGACAGATTCCTGTTTCTAATCCAGGCCTGAGAATGCTTGAATTCTCAATTTTTTTTGTCCTCCTAGCTGGGATCTTGGGTTTTTTTTCTGCTGTTAAGACCTGAGTGGCCTTTTTTTTTGGTTGTGAGGATGCAAGGACAAAAGGTGCACCAAAGTGCTTCCCAAGTTGGGGAGACCATTCCTGAGAGCCAGGTGACTGACCCCCACCATGGCTGTTTCCCTCCAACTCATGCTTTTTTTTTCGCACTGGGAGGCAGTCCCCAGTGAGATCCTGACCCTGCACAGCCCTGAGTGGCTTTTTTTTTCTCGGGCAGTGTCTTCATTCTCTTTTTTTTGGACCTGGGATGTTTGTGACTTCTTTTTTTTCTTCCTCACTCTCACAATGGACCTTAGCCCCTTGGTAGTCCCACCCACATCCCATTTTTTTTGCAGTCTGAGCTCCAAGACTGAGTTTTTTTTAGCATCCACTTGTGCTACCAGGCTTTTTTTTTCTGAGGATGTGACCCCATCTGGTTTTTTTTTAACCAATAAATTTCTCGAATGGTTTTTTTTCTTGATCAAGTAAAGCCTCTGTGTTTTTTTTAGGCAAACAGCTAGAACTTCCTCTTTTTTTTTCAGGTCAGAGCTTAGTTATTCCTTTTTTTTGGTGACATAGAATGCGGGGTGATTTTTTTTTGGCTGAGAAGGAGAAGGAGCCTCAGGGTTGGGGAGGGCACTGAAGAGCTCATGTTTTTTTTTGGTCAGAGTCCCTTCTGGCTTTATTTTTTTTACCTCACTGGACACGAGGAGCAATTTTTTTTTCCATGCTTACGTGTATCTGTTGTTTTTTTTTTGGACACCTGCCTGCACGGCTCAGGGGACAACTGGGGACATTAACCACTGGTCTTTTTTTTAGGACTTGTATCATGGGACACCGTTTTTTTTATACATGAGCACCAGCGGCTCACTAACCTGCCCATGGCCCCAGGCAGGAGCATGTTTTTTTTATTTGGGGAAAGCTGAGTGGCACTTTTTTTTCTGGCCAAAGAGCAAACTGTGGGGCTGAGAACCTACCCCAGATAAGCAGGGCAGTTTTTTTTAATGAAGAGAACTCTGGGAGAGTTTTTTTTTTATTTCTGGCTGGCTCCCCTAGATTTTTTTTTGCACAGCCACGGTTGAGAATCATTTTTTTTTGGCACATCTGCCTATGGGGCACTTTTTTTTGGTGCACTACCCCCTGGCTGCAGTTTTTTTTCTCACTGAACTCGATCAGCAGCTTTTTTTTTCCCCGGCGCTGGTAGGGAGGCAGTTTTTTTTTGCAGGCCACATTGTAGTCTTCTTTTTTTTTTTTCTCCTGGAAAAGCGGGGCAGTTTTTTTTCAGGGAAGGGACCTGGCTCAGGATTTTTTTTAGGGACAGCCTGGACAGGCACTGTTTTTTTTGAAGTAGCCCACAATGTGGAAGCTTTTTTTTTCATACTCCGTCATGACGTAGAATTTTTTTTGGTCTGTGTCATAGTACAGTGTCTTTTTTTTAAGGAAACACTTGGCCAAAAGACACAGGTTCTGGGAATAACTCTGCAAGAGAAATTTTTTTTCACCATTCTGGGTATCCTGCCTTTTTTTTTTCCAGTGGTTCAGGGTCAACCAGGTTTTTTTTTGTTTGTGCTATGCCCCAGACTGTTTTTTTTTGAGTATTCTTCCCTGGCTGGGCTTTTTTTTCTCCACCAGCCCGCAGCTTACGCTTTTTTTTTCCTCAGTGTTGAAAAGCCTGTGTTTTTTTTGTGTGATGTGTCTGAATGCCTCCTTTTTTTTTCGGGCAAGTTTCCCGACTTGCTTTTTTTTTCTCCATCTAAGCCTGGCCGGGAGTTTTTTTTACCCTGTAGTTTTTAACAGCAATTTTTTTTTTAATGTGTCCAAAGTCAGACTCCTTTTTTTTCTCCTCAGAGAAGCTCTCTCTGATTTTTTTTGGAGTCTAGCTGTTAAAAAACCTTTTTTTTTGCCAGGCGCGGTGGCTCACGCCTGTAATCCGAGCACTATGGGACGCCGAGGCGGGCGGATCACGAGGTCAGGAAATTGAGACCATTTTTTTTTACACGGTGAAACCCCGTCTCTACTTTTTTTTCAAAAAACTAGCCAGGCGAGGTGTTTTTTTTCTGTAGTCCCAGCTACTCGGGAGTTTTTTTTAGGAGAAGGGCGTGAACCCGGGAGGCAGAGCTTGCAGTGAGCCCAGATCGCGCCTTTTTTTTCCAGCCTGGGCAACAACGTGAGATTTTTTTTCAAAAAAAAAACACACAAAAAAATTTTTTTTTCTACATCCACAGTCACACCTCCTTTTTTTTGATCTGCTACTCTACGACAGAGTTTTTTTTTTATGTAATTTAACAAAATAACTGTTTTTTTTGTTACCCCAGCAAAATTATGAATTTTTTTTTTTAACCTTACCTCTGCACATGATTTTTTTTTCATTTCAGACATTGTGGGTTTTGTTTTTTTTGTTTTTTTTTT